GACGGTCACCCGTCATAGTGTCCTCTGGCAGAGGCCCGCGCGACCTCGGCGCCGGGGGCCCCGGGCGGTCATCCGCCAGGCTTCCCTCCTGCTGAAGCCTCCATCCCCCCATGGCTCCTCGAGATCGCCCATGGCCTGCCGAGGCGAAGCTCCCCCCCCCCGCCCCCGCGTCAGCGCTGCGTAGTGCGCGCTGGTCGCCCCCTCCGCCTCCACGGGCGCGCTCACCCAGCCCATCGCGCACCGTTCCGTGGCCCCCTAGGGGACCGAGTGGAAGGAGGGGGTCGGATGAGGGAGGAAAAGGAGGATGAGAAAGAGGAGAAGGAGGAGGAGGAGGAGGAGGAGGAGGAGGAGGAGAGGAGCCCCGCCCCCCCAGGAATTTCCCCTGGATTGCTACTGTTCCCAACCATCCTGTGGTGCGGGGTCCTCGTTGTAAAGAGACAGCGCTCCGCCTCTCCTCTCCTCTCCTCTCCTCTCCTCTCCTCTCCTCTCCTCCTTCCTCTTCCCTCCTTTCATCCCTGCCTCTGCCCTCAGCACCCAGTACACCGTTCTGTGGCCTCAATACGGCGCTTCGTGGCCCCACCGAAGGCCCCCGAGGCTGTGACCACATGCGTCCTGCGTCACTCAGTACGGCGCTTCGTGGCCCAATGGGGACTCCACCGAGCCCCCGCGGATGTGAATACATGCGTCCCGCGCCACCCAGTACGGCGTTTCGTTGCCCCATAGGGAGCCCCACCGAAAACCCCAGGGGTTGTGACCACATGCATCCCGCGCCACCAAGTACGGCGCTTCGTGGCCCCATAGAGAGCCCCTCCGAAGGCCCCGTGGCTGTGACCACATGCGTCCCGCGCCACCCAACACGGCGCGTCGTGGCCCCTTAGGGAGTTCCACAAGGCCCCCGTGGCAGTGACCACATGCGCGCCACCCAGTACGGCTCTTCGTGGCCCATAGGGAGCTCCACAGGAGGCCCGCGTGGCTGTGACCACATGCGCCCCGCTTCACCCAGTACGGCGCTTCGTGGCCCCATAGGAATCTCCTCCGAAGGCCCCATGGGTTGTGACCACATGCGTCAGGCACCACCCAGTACGGCGCTTCGTGGCCTCATAGGGAACTCCACCGAAGGACCCCGTGGCTGTGACCACATGCGTCCCGTGCCACCCAGTATACCGTTGGCCCCATAGGGAGCTCCACCGAAGGCTCCAGGGGTTGTGACCACACGCGTCCCGTGCGACCCAGTACGGCGTTTTGTGGCCCCAGATCTACCGAAGGCCTCAGAGGCTGTGACAACATGCGTCCCGCGCCACCCTGTACGGCGTTTCGTTGCCCGATATGGAGCCCCACCGAAAGCTCCTGAAGTTGTGACCACATGGGTCCCGCGTCACTCAATACTGCGCTTCGTGGCCCCATGAGGAGCTCCACCGAAGGCCCCCGAAGCAATGACCACATGCGTCCCGCGCTACCAAGTACGGCGTGTCGTGGGTCCATGGGGAACTCCACCGAAGGCCCCCGTGGCTGTGACCA